TTGGGTGTGCTTTTCTCTGACCCTCAAGTTGAAAAATTTCCTGCAGATAGCACGGGCGTGCTATATGGCAACGCCTGGGGCGTGCTTGTCCCTGACCTCTCAAGTGAGTTTTTTCCCTTTCTATGGCACGGGCGTGTTGAGAGGCACGGCTGGGGCGTGCTTTTCTTTAACTCTCAAGTTGTCAACCACCCTTGAAAAACCGCAACGGGCGTGCTGCGAGGCACCCCCTGGGCGTGCTGGATCCTCACCCCATGGCAACGGCCAGTGCTGGGGGGCACGCCAGGGCGTGCCCGCTTCTGGTATTTTTCACTTTTTTCCTACAAAACCTCTAACTTAAAACAAAAGAACAATTATGGAGAAAATTTGGGAATTTGTAAGAAATAAAAACAGAAAATAAAACAAATAAATGGATCGAAAATTTAACAAAGAAAAATTGTATGGGTTTGTCTCCCACAAGCACTTTTGTTTTAACGTCAAATTAGTTCGACGCATTTTAACCTGGATCAGGCTAAACGAGACCAATTGGTGCTCTTGAATGGGCGCAAAGTTTTCATTGTGATAGCTTCTCAATCGTTGAGCAATTCCTTGAATGCTTTGATTTTGACTTATCTGTCCAATATCTCGATTGCTCCATGAGGAAAAATTTCCTTGATTGTGAATGGAACGGAACCATCTAAGAGCGCAACTTACCAGGGAATAATCGGAAGCCTAGACGTTATAGAGCAACACCCTGCTGGCCTACCTTTAGATCCCTCATGATAACTAGCGCTTATCGTGCCATTGTTTAGTGCGATCTTTGTATATTTTGGCACTTTCATAACATGGAGGCTCATTTCATCCATCATGTTAATGCTGTAGCATAGCGCTTTTTGTTCCCACTTCTTTGGCCAAAATTTAAAAAAAGGTTTTAAAAAAGAAAAAAATTGAATGGCCCAAAAACGCTTTATGTTCTAACTCTACAGGAGATGACAACCTTACCATAACACCTGCGATATGGAGACATACCTATAGGTGTTTGAACGCAGTTTCTGTAGGCAGCATCGTCTAGCTTTTTTGGACCAATCTTCCTTGATTGTCCAAAGTGGTTCGAGGATCTTTTTGAATTTCTCTGTTATGTGACCTTCTACTTTTGTCCCACTTGTTTGAGGATGATATTGAGTACCTACCGATGAGTCGACACCATATTTGCTAGAAGGGAAATCTAAATATCTATTGCAAAAATGCTTACCTCCGTCCGTGATTAATTGCTCTATACGAGTGCCAAAATGCTTGTAAACAATGTTTTCTTGATGAAGCCATCAACTTTTTGGCATCGTTATTGGGAAGAAGCAACAGCCTCTGCCCAAATTTGACACATAATCACCGCCACTAAAATGTATTGATTTTGAATATGATGGTGGAAAAGGTCCATGAAGTCCAGAACCCCATCGTCGGAAGATTTCGACTCAGGATGCTGTTTAAAAGGGCATCTCATGTCTCTTCGAAATGTACCTAACCTTTGACAACGATCACAAAGACGAACATAGTTAGCCTCCTTTAAAGATTAGCCATCACAAACCACTTTCTAGCAATACGCCCTCTGTCTTGTTTGCTCCAGTGCCCTCCACATTCCAATTGAATGGCAAAGAATTTTAAGACCGCTTTCCATTTCAGTTTCCGGTATACATCTCCTGAATCTTGATTCACTCTGCAATACTTGCCTAAGGGCTCCTCCCAAATAGTAGAATTGAATATCATGGAAAAAACTTTTTCCTTTGTTGGTGAAAAATTGGGAGGAGGAATTTGCAATAACAAGATAATTAAATTATGTCAGCGTACAGGGGGTTTGAGCATTTGTCCTAAGAAAGTTGCTCATGGGGAACAGCTTTTATTAATTTTGTAGCTCGCTTGCATCTTCTTCCCTCAATTCAAGCCATGGAGAAGATGGTCAGCAACGAGGTTACTCGTTCCTTTTTTTGTCGCGAATTTCAAGGTCAAATTCTTGTAATAGAAATACCCAACGAATGAGTCTCGGTTTTGGCATCTTTCTTTTCCAGCCAAGTATTTTGGATGGCTGAGTGATCTGTGTAAGACTATTGTTTTAGCCTCCAAGTTAGATAAGCCCCTGAATTGTCAAAAGAAAAAACAAATAGCTACAAGTTCTATTTTCCGTAGTTTCGCATAATTTAGTTGCGCATCATTTAATGTGCGACGGCATAATAATAAATGCAACTTTTTGTTTTCTTTGGTCCAAGAACAGCTTCTACAAGCTGTCCTGCATCACACATGAGTTCAAAGGGTAAAGTCCCAATCTTGGTGTTGTGATATGGGGGCTGAGAATTAATTCCTTCTTCAACCTGATTAAAAGCATCTAAACATTCTTTTGTCAAAAAATCAAATGGAACACTCTTTAACTAATAAATTGTCAAAGAGGTTTAGTGATTTTTGAGAAGTCTTTTATGAATCTCCCTGTAAAACCCTGCATGCCCAAGAAAAACTTCTTAATTCCTTTCAAAACTGTGTTAAGGAGGAGGTTAGTTTTTCAATTACCTCAATTTTGGCCTGTCGACTTCAATCCCTTTTTGGGAGAGAATTTTATGCCTAGGACATACCTTCACTAACATGATGACATTTTCCCCAATTTAAACACAAGGTTGTACTTCACATCAGTTGCACGTTACTAAAGATATAATTATGAAGGCATGCCATCGAAAGTTAAGAACCAAACACAGAAAAGTCATCCATGAATATTCAATAAAAACACTTTTCCAACCAATATCGAAAGATGGATTCATGGCACCCTTTGGAGGTTGCAGGGCATTGCATAGCCCAAAGGGCATTCTCCTATAGGCAAAAGTACCATAGAGACAAGTGAATATGTTTTCCTCTTGGTCTTCAAAGGAGCTATAGGTATTTGAAAGTACGCTGAAATGCCTCTAAGAAACAATAAAAGGATAACCTGTCAGCTTTCAACCAAATTTGATCAAATAAGGGTTAGGGGAAATGGTCCTTGCGTGTTGCATTATTCCAGTTTTCTGTAATCTATGCATACACCACACAACGCCAACCTGTGACTGTTCTTGTGGGAATTAATTCATTGTTTTCATTAGAGACACCGTCATACCTCCTTCTTTGGAACAACTTGGACAGGACTTACCCAATTACTGTCTGAAATGGGATAATACTGATACGCATCGAGTTTGATGATTTCAAAGCCTTGACTACCTCCTTCATTTCGGGTTCAATCGCTTTGGTTGCTCGTTGAAGGTTTGTAGTTTTCTTCCCAATCAAGATCTAATGCATGCACACACTTTGGGACTATATTCCTTGTAGATCCGAGATAGACCCACCTAAAAGCCTCTTGTGCCTTCCGAGAACCTGCAACAACTTTCCTCCTGATCAGTGTTGTGAGAAGATATCGGAGAATGGTCTCCTAAGAATGCTATGTTTTAAAATGAGGTGGAAGTTGCTTTCAGGTTCTTGCTTAGGTGGTTCCCTTTTCTTTTTCATTTAAAGATGCTTGATTCGTTAATGTTATTTTCGTGCAGTGTTTCTACCATTCATCACAACATCAATTCGAAAACAATCTCCATAGTCCAATAGGAAGTGTTGCAAGATTTAAGTACATCAAATACAATCTCTTCCTGTCCACACTCTTAGAGTCAACTTAACCTCATAAAACACGACATATTGCTTCTTGCAGTTACAAGAAAAGGTCTTCCTAAGGATTAGAGATCCTTCCATGTCTTCATCAATGTCAAGATAACTCACAGGAAAGATGAATGTAAACCTACCTTTACCAAAGCACGTCTCTACAATCCCTCTAGGATATTTAATTGAACGTCTGCTAATTCGCAAAAGGACATCCTTGTTGTTTTGAGCTCTCCTACCTAGCATCTAAAACTTCATAGGAACATAAGATTAAGCTAAGCACCCTAATCTGCCAAAGCTTTTTCAGTCGTTACCAATGTTAGGAATAGAAAAACTTCCTGGATCATTTTAACTTGAGGCTAATTTGTTTTGGATAATTGCACTGCACTCCTCAGTTAACATTACCTGTCCTTGATCATCAATTTTTTTCGTTTCTTGCTCAGGAATATCTTTAGGAATTTTAGCATAGCTAGGCATTTTGAGCAAGAAAGCTTCAGTAAAGGAATATTGATTTGAAAGCTTCTTAAACAATCCAGAAACTTGAGGAAGCTCTTTGTT